CAGGTGCCCCTAACTCTGGAGGATTACTGCATTAAAACGCAGATTAAGCCAAACACATCCGATTCTCAGGTTGAAATGACAGATTTCTACGACGACGATTATGACGAAGACTACGACGATCCCTCGGACGGTTCAGAATACGCCGACGAAGACGACAATGACAGCGGCAARGGAGAGTCGTGATCGAGCTAAGCGTCCCGATTGCCCTTTATTTGTACATTTTTTTAGTTTAATTTACTCTCTAATTTTACACGCATATTTTTGTAGATTGAAAATAGAAAGTGTTTTTAAGAATTACCTACAACTCATTTAACGTAAATGTGGTCATCCTAGATAATTTATGTGCTATGGAATTTAATTTCGTTTGTCATATAGTCGAATATGATATAATTTGGAGTGTTACAATAGCAAAAAATATCTTGGGTGAGCTATCAGCAAGACTGTAACTAACACGAGAAAATGGTTGCAATTTTTTACGATCTCAGTTTAACCACCGGTTCTTATATCAATTGTGTACATAATGAACTTATCGTGTATTTGTCTCTTTAAGTATTTTACTGTTTTGATAAATAAAAGTGCAGCTAGTGGAATGCATTGTGTGGATAATATGACTACCCATCTCGCTAAGTTCGTTACTATTTTCTAATCAACATGATCAGTATTTTGTCCATAAAAGCGGATTTACAACAAATTAGCTCAAATTGTGTTGTTACGACCACGGATGAATTTCTGCATTCATTCAGGCTTGTGTATTTCACAAATTGAACAGAAAATAAATTATTCAATTACCAGTTTTTACTCATTACTCGGAATTCAGTGTTGCAGGGGCAAAACAATAACACATCTCGACAATGATTCGTAATTTTGAACAATTCTTGAAAACAAAGTCGATTATTTAGGCAATTTTTCAAACACTTTCTAAATTATTTGGGCCTATTATTAACATTATTATTATTGTGTGATGTAATTCTACCATTTAAAAATTGACCAGTTTCAAGATGCCACAAGGTAGCTTATCACTAAGGCTCGGATTAGATGCAAAATGCATATTTGTTATTAAGAGGTATATAAACAAAATTCTAAGTTTTCTATAAAAATGCATATTTTGGCAACTTCGTGCATATTTTAGGAAATATTGCATATTTTCTTCAAAAAATCACAAATTTCCGATTAAAAACTTCAGTTAAAGTTAAAAATTGTTTAAGACAAATGATTACAAAATATCTTAAAGAGAAAACAACCGGTAATTCGTGAGCCGAACTTAAAGAATTAGTATCCTGAGTGTTTCCTTTTTAAATTCGTTTTATACAGGGTGAATATAGAGTATGAAACCAAACGTTTTTTTTAAATCATTTGCCTCCAGAAAATAATAATTAATATAAATAAAAGTAATATAGAAATTGTGATCGTATTTTGAGAACGAAATTTTGTCTTGTTTTTGAGTTGTGATTTGTCGAAATTGCAATTTGTTATTATTTTTTTWAATTTTATATAAAGTAGGTAGATAGTTGTAATTCTTAAATCATAACCTTCATGAGAAAAATGTTTTTTTTTTGTATACGATTCCGAAAATAGCCGTTTTGGAGACGCATTTGAGTCCCTAAAATGAGTCTTTTCCGGACTCAACAAAATAGTACGTAAAATGATTATTTTAAGTACTCAGTCCCCAAAAACAGTTTTTCCAGACGAAAAAGTCAATTTGGTTTCTATGGTAGGAWTTTTTTTTTGATTAATAAGAGGTGTGAATTGCTGCTTTAACAAAAAAATACTTTGCAAAATTTATTGTACTCGACGATAAAAATGTATCCAAACTTTGATTTTTTATTGTTAAAAGTTTTGCATATTTAGCATATGTTGGAGCATTTTTTTTAGTATCTTGTGCATATTTTTGTGAAAATACGCGCATATACAGGGTGCGCCAGAACTCGCGTCCCAGAGAAAGGTAAGATACCAGGAACATGGAAAAAATTTTGTACTTTGACTCTAATAAGAGGAATCAAGGCAGCTGTATCCAAAATTGTAACTCTGTTTAATGTTATTTGTGGCTTTTATTGGTAAAATTTTTGTTCCTTTATTAAATAATTGTAAAAAATCATATACAAGATCATCCAGTAGGTACCTACTTAACACAAATTTTAAAAAATCACTTGAAACCAATCATTTTAATTCATAAAAATTTTTGCCACTGTGTTGAAGTCTTTTGCATAAATATGCCTTTCTAAGGTAAGTATTACGTTTTCCTTCCAAAAATATGCAACGCAAAAATAGTTTTTTAATTTTTTTTTTAGATTTTTATTAAAAATAAGTCTTAACAAAAGTAAAGTGGTAACAATTTTTGCCCTAAAAATTACTTCACCCTTCCTCGGCCTCGTCCGCCCCTGGACCCCCGCCCTCCTCTCGATCCAGGCCCCTTCGCCGGCCTGCTTGACGCACTCATAGTGTCAGGGGCCTCATCATCACTATCAATAATGGAAATTTCGTCCCTTCCATTGTCTAGATCCTTTCGTCGATTTTTATCCCCCAAAATAACTTTAAAATCTTCGGCAGTTCGCAAATCGCGAATTTGTTGAAAACAGTCTCTGATTTCATTCTCCTCTGGCTTCAATTCAGCCAATCTCTTCATAATAAATTCTTCTTGTTCCCTGAAACGATATTTTATTCGAATTTTCGCAGAATGAAAATACAAACATCAACAAGATGAGAGGAGCATCGATATCGTTTGATTCCATGACTTTAGTAACAGCTTCATTGAGTCCAGTCACCGACAAAACGGACAAGTGGTTATCTTCATTGAAATACTTTGAAACCACGTCTATAACACTATCGTAGTGTTCATCCTCCAACTGAAAAAATCAGATTAGACTGAAACTCCACTTCAGGAAAAAAATCAAATTTTGTACATCTATGGGCTTCACATTAACACCAGCATTCTTGCACTGCCTTGCTTTCTTGTAACTGGTGCTAAACTTGACAATATCTTCAGGATTTGCAACTCTTTCAATGAATTCTTGCCCAAATCTTATCGGATTAAAAACCTGTCTGTCGTCCTCATACTTGACAACTAATCTGATTAAAGGCAACATATCTCTCCTGTTCAAATTGCCCGCTTCCGTGATCATATTTTCAATTTCCTTCCTGACTACGATTTTAGTCCGTTCAGAATGCGGTATTTTCCCTGCGTAAGTCTCGGGAGGCTCGATCGAAATGCATTTGAAAATAAAAGGCCGAACTGTTTGCAATTCAATGGGATGGAGGCTAAAATTCTTCCCGCAAACCCTCAAAAGTCCCACTTTTTTACACAGSGCTTCGCCCTCGGCCAAAGACGTCGCTACAGTGCTCCCCGGCTGGGTGATATAACAGTTGCCATCAATCGAGGAGGTTGGTTCAATGCGACAATCGTGCTCGTGGCCCCACATGACCAAATCGATGAACTCCGGGATGAACGTGTCCGCAATGAAGTTTTTAACCCCCCGATTGGCRCGATTTTGGTGCAGAATGAACATATTGAACCAGTCGTTGACATCTTCCGGTGTTTTTGTCGTAACTTTTTTATCGAGGAAGAGACGGGCCAAACGCTCGTCGCGGATGTGCGACAGGCCGTATAAAGCCAACTTGGAGGCCCCCTTCTTGAGCAAAATGGGGTTTATTTCCACTTTGGTGACGTCGTCCCAACGCCCGAAGTAATTCACGAGACCCATCGACGAGAACAGGTCCAAGGAGGAAACTTGGTTTTTACCAGAGGGGTCATCGTGGTTCCCATGAATCGAAAATATAGGAACTGAAACGTTTATGTTCGGGTCTTCGTAATTSACGGTYTTGTTGCCTTGGAAGTGGAGGGAAGGGTCGGAGAAGAACTCGATTTCGACCGGTTTATCCCCGAAACAATACCTACAAACAAGTGTAAACTTGTCGAATTTGGTGCGGTTTGACTCACTTTCGAATCAAATCAATGGTTTTCCTGATGGTGTCAGGTGGAGGCCGGGAATCGTGGAATAAATCGCCCCCGTGTAAAATAAAATCCACGTTTTCTTTATTTGCAATTTGTAGTATTTCCTCAAATGTGTGAAAAGTGTCATTTTCTTGAAAAACAGAACTTGAATTTTTCGTTTATTTGTGGTTAGGTTACCTCGAATGGGATTTGATGACCCGTATCCTATATGAAGGTCTGTGGCAAGCAAAATTCTGAATGTGTTGTCGTCAGACTGATCCATTTCGCAAAAATATCACAAAATTTTAATTTAAAACTTAATAAACTCTTCTCGCGCCAAATGTCACTTAACCTCACTTTTGTTGCCAACATATACCTAGGGAGCTACTTGCTGGCAAGTATAAAATCACAGCGGACCAGTTCACTAGTGGTTATTTTTTACATATTGAACAAAATAAAGGAAATAAACTCTAACCACCCACAATCTTTGTAAAATGTGGGCCTTTTTGTCACAATTATTTTAAATAAAATTATAATTTATTTAAAAAAAATGTAATAATAGCATATGCCAGCTTGTTATCATAAAAAATCAAAATTTCAACCCATTCCAAGAGCAAGATTTTATTTAAAAAAAATATTTTGTAGAGATTTTAATGCCCTTTCAACCTGGGGCAATAAAAAGGTGGCACATCGTCGATAACACATAGAAAAAAACTAAACACCCTTAAAATTAATAAAAAATCAAACTTGCCAAGCTCTTTTTTCAGGGTCGGATTTTTTTCAATTTTTTATTTTGTAGGGCTTTTTGGGGAAACTTATAATTTATACAGATTTGTCAATAAGATATTACCACCTAGGATTTGAACTTWRAGGAAAATTACGTTTTTCATGTTGTTTTTAACTAGAATTTTCAGAAGTAATTTTGAATGTTTAGGGTTGGTTARCCCTTGTTGCTGCCGGTTGACGTTTTCTGTCAACCTGCTGTCAACTATCAATTAAATTATCCATTCAAGCTGACAGGTGACTTAACCTAAATGTTGACATGACTTACGATATCTTTTGTTTGTCACTAGAAWCCAACTTTATGGCAACCTATTCACGAATATCCCTAAATCCTAGGGAGTAATTTCTTGTTGATACGACAATAATTATACGCTGCAAAATCTACCGGGTYACTTTTAATGTTTGTGACAAAAAAATCTATTGTCAACACTGAATTATTGGTAATTCTTTTTTATTTATTATACAGGTGTCCGGAAAGTCACGCACCTTCTTGAAAGGGAGTAATTGGGTAGACTTTAAAGAGTACTGAAAAAATGTTTAAAAAAACTCTATCTGTCAAAAAAAATTGACATTTATTTTTTGACATTTGACATTTTTAATGATACATATATATATATATTTAATTATTTAGTAAAGGTACAAATATTTTGCCAATAAAAGCCACAAATAACATTAAACAGAGTTACAATTTAGGATACAGCTTCCTTATTTCCTCTTCTAATAACCTGTAGCAAAAAAACTTGGAAATATGTTTTTTCAACAGYAATAAATAGAGTCAAAGTGCAAAATTTACTCTCATAACTACGAAATTTTTATTGATATATTTTTTTAAACATTTTTTTTGTTGTCTAGGGCATCACCCTGTATATCAGAATGTTGTAGGTGACGGCTAAATCAGCAGTCGCSCGTCGTAAACAAATGACAATTGCCCATAAAAGTTTGACGTTTAAATTTGAAAGTTAAGGTTGCCAAACTTAAATTTAAAATTTYACACCACCTTGAGGTAAAAAATTATTTAGTCACCCGGTAGTTATTTATACATTAATTGTGCGAAATGACTGTTTTTTTGACGTGAGAATATGCTATTTAGGCATTTGAGCGTTAAAAAAACAGTTTTGCAAGGTTTTTTCTTCAATAATATTTAAATTAATTTTTTATAAAACATACTTCAAAAAATAGTTGCCATATTTCTGTTAGTGTGTAAAATGAGCATTTCCGGTCTCTTAATAAAAATGGCTAGTTTGGATGTGTGAAAAAAAAAACTTCACACATGGTAGTCGAAAAATGTTTTGTTTAATATTTGTAGTTTTAAAAATGTAATTCTAATAAATATTATTCAAAATTATTAGTTTCTTATAGTATCTAAAGTAACAAAAATGCTCATTTTCATTTTTTTAAAAGCCTAAAATGATGCACTTTTGCAAACACTTTATTTTAGTGTTTTCAACTTTTTTATAGTGCTTCAAAATGTTCTTTTTGAAACATTTACAAAACATTGTTTTTTTGCGAGTATTTTTTGGTTTTTTCAGTTAGTACCCTTGAGCAACAACAGACTGAAGTTATCTTGTAAACCAATTCAATTTTTTATTTAAAAGCTGCAAAAAATAAAGTTTGTGTAGAGTTATATTTATTTTGCGTTCCACTTAGTCCAAAAACCCCAAATGCGCCCCTGTGTTTCACCCCCATGGCCATTTAGAGCAGCATGTGTCGCGGACGCCCACCTTAAGCGAGCTTTCGTGTCCTTCCGTGTGGCGGCAGCACCATCTCCACTCTTCTTTTTCTTCAGCCAATCCCAACGTTAGATCAAGAGACAAGATAGCGTCCTTTGTGATTGCGACAAGGATGCCCATCGCCGACACTCTGCACTCATCTTCTGGGATAGCGTTTAGCTGAACGGGTTTGGATTGTTGTTATTTTTGTTTTCAGTGCGAAAGATACTCGGCGTGTTGTTCATCGACCGTTTCGTCTTCAAACTTCGTCAAATTGAATGAATTGTGAGAAAAACCGCGCAAAATCCGCAATTTCCTCTGAAACTGTCCGTTTGTGTGCAATGACCATTCACGAAAATCGCTTTGTTCGGCGATGTTGGTGAAAAAGTGAGCAAATCCAGAGTGCCGGCACAATGAGGTGCGATTTTTTGCTGGGACTGTTGCTGGTCGTCTGGGGGGCCGAAGGGGGCACCACGAACGCGCCGGTGACCAAAACAGGTGAGTGAAGGGGTGGGACAGGGCCGGGATTTGGCCGGAGGTTAAGGACGTGTTGTTTATCGAACGACGACTTATTAAATAAATATTTATTATCGCTTTTAATGATTTCAAAGTTTAAGTTTTTGGGGGGCGCAAAGGTGAACGCGTCAGGCGCTGGCTGCGGCCGGAGCGGGGCACTGATGCGATTTCCGGGTTTGGAAAAGGTGCAAAAACGACGAAAATTGGTACTTGGAATAAATGAAATAACAAATAAATTTTGTTGTGTGCTTTTTTATTGAATTTTATGAGTCAAAAAGGTAAAAAACTATTTCTGCTTAGTGGCCTGTGATCCTGTGAATTTGACAGATGTGAAAAATTTGTAAATTTTTTACATATTGCCAACTTGCTAATTCTAAAGCACAGGTCACTTTAGTCCAGATTTTTAAAGGAAAATAAAGCATTTCATTATGAGAAAAGGTGCAAAAACCACGAACTTGATGCTCGGAATGAATGAACTAACAAAAAATTGTTACTGTTGCGT